AACTCCATTCACCACAACTCTCTGGGCCCGGCCGTCCAGCCAGTTTTTGACCCAGCGCAGAGTCCACCTGTCTAAGCCGTCAGCCGCCAGCTTCTCTAGGAGAATGCTGTGGGAGACGCTGTCAAAGGCCTTTTTAGATTAGCTTTAATGCTGCACATTAATGAATATGGTTTTAAAAAGAAAGAGTACTAACCCTGTAGAGAGGGTGGCATTTGTCCTTGAAACATGGTGCCAAACGAGCGTAGATCTGTAGGCTATAGTAATAACTTGCCAGCTGGAGAGATAACGCAGAATGTAATTGCTTTTCAAAGCATTTGTTGGCATCTACCACCTAGGAGAAAGACAGCATTGATTTATATGAAAGAATTAGCAAGCATACAACATTAAGTGCACAAACTTTCTAAAAAGCTACTTGCTGTGATTTAGAAATAGCTCTATGTTTTTCTGGCACAGAAGTAAATCAGTAACCCCCCCCACACACACAAAGACAATTCTACATTATGACGTTTTTCCCGCCTTGCACAAATACCTAACCAAAATGATTTTCCAACCAGAGTTTTGCTGCTTCTATACCACAAAGTTATTATCTATATTTCTGAGCTACATTAGAACTGTCAGTCAGGTGGCCCAACTACTATTTTAAATTAGAAAGTGTGTCTCTTTGCCAGTGCCACACTCATAAGCCAGTCCAACGGCATTTGTTCAGTTTTCTTTAAATGTACCAGCCCAGTCTATAAAAATGTGTATTTAAATAAATTCAAAGACTTAGATTTTAAAACCCTAAGGAAATTACATTTTCTTATGGAATTTTGAAATGCTATGTCTTTGTTGGCAAAAACATACAAACAACATCACTATCAACATACCTGCGGCAGGGCAAGTAGATAGGCAAGAGACAAGGCCATATCATTTGGTAACGCATCATTTGCCAGTTGTAGCAGAACTGCAACATATAGGGAGAGGAAATAAAGTTTTGATTACTGACCCATCTAGCCTTGACAGTTAGCAAATGAAATGTTTTCAGTGTAAATATATTTTATTAGACACTAGCTTGAAGCACTCTATATGTACTTAATTAAACACTTACCAGTGCAATCCAAAAACAGGTAATTCATAATTAAACTGCAGCACAGCTTTACCTTGACTTCCAGGCAAAGCGTTTGATGTATTAACCAAACAAGAATGAGACTATGCAGTCACAGATGCTAAACAAAGCCACTAAAATATCACCTGTACTGATTTACAAGTAAATCTTTTGCTTGTAAAATCAAGGCAGCAATGTAATGTTGTACGCATTCGAAGATACCAACAAGAGTAACAGTATAAAATGTCTTCTCTTCAAGCCTGAGCTCTAATTCACTTATCACTGAACAAAACAAAGCATATTAAAAATTTGTCTTAATTAAAAAAAAAAAAAAAAAAAAAAAGCTGTGAGAGTGATATGAATTTTAAGTAAGATCAGTGAAACACCAAAACCAGGTCCTGCCACATACTGTAAACAGAAATATCAGCACAATGACATATTCAAAAATTAATACATTGAAGAATAATTATTCTGATTATAAAAAGATAAGCTTCAGGTAAAACTGACACAAAAATTACCTGCTTTTCCTGCATTTTAGATACCAAACTTGGAATTTGTTTAAAAAAACCCACTACATTTTACATTACAGAAATGGGAGAACCAATACACAGACACGATGTCAGTGCCCAATATTTCTTAATTAGTAACAGGATCTCTCCTTCATGCAGTTAACTCCTTCTGTACTAAAGTCAAGCATCATTGTGGTTGCTACAAAAGTTCCAATGAACAATTACAGAATAACGATTCCCGTGATACACATAATACGCAGTTTTGGAGGTAGAGAATATAAATTATTAGTTCCAGGGAAAACTTCAAAACTCTTATGAAACCTGGACCAGAAATTGCATAAGGAATTGTAAGTACACCAAGAAAATAACATTACGGTTTCCTTTTTTTATAGATGTTATTTACTATTATTATTACTAGTATTCAAATCAGTAGCAGCCATCTTCCAGCAACTTAGCTCTCTTGTTTATTTTTATTTTAAGGAAGTCTCCAATACCTATATTCCCACCTTACACAAACTACTCTTCAGGGCATGCTGACAAGAAACCTGGTTTACACACACAGCCCCCTAATAAATTCTTTGTTCCAAAGAATAATTAAAGGCTTGAATGACCAATTACAATTTTCAGATTATCATTAATCTCCCATCAGCCAGAAGTCGATTTACATGCGGGCCCTCAGCCAGATACAAAATCCAAATTTCTATGTGACAAGTCGACACAGAGGCTGTCTACATGGCAATATGCACACTTACTGCAAGTACAAGCCTGTCCAACAGCACCTATACTTTATGCATCAAGTAACTTTTACCAATAGTTTCTTGCTGCTGATACCTTGTTTCTGTGTTGTGGTTTAACCCAGCAGGTAGCTGAACACCACACAGCCATTCACTCGCTCCCCCTGCTACCAGTGGGATGGGGGACAGAGTCAGGGGGGAAAAAAAAGTAAGATTCATAGGTTAAGATAAAGACAGTTTAATAGGACAGAAAATGAAGGGAAAATAATAATGTTATTGAACACCACACAGCCATTCACTCGCTCCCCCTGCTACCAGTGGGATGGGGGACAGAGTCAGGGGGGAAAAAAAAGTAAGATTCATAGGTTAAGATAAAGACAGTTTAATAGGACAGAAAATGAAGGGAAAATAATAATGTTATTACTAATACTAATAATCACAAAGCAAAGTGATGCACAATGCAATTGCTCACCACC